TGGAGTTTCTTGCAAATCAGCTCCTGTGCATGGCTTTTCCAACATCTCATCATTTAAACAATTACTCAAGCAAACATACCTGACTTTATTCAATGCATCCTTTGACATAGATTTCCCGTGCACATGGACACTGTCTCGTGACTGTTCTTGCCATTGAGAATTGGCTTTACAAACAGTATAATTTACTATTTAGTCTTATGTTGACCTATATGTTATTTTAACGTTATATTTTAACGGGAAGGCGCCTCGCATGGATACTTCAGTCCCGTTCGTGCCTTTGCCGATTGGTTATTTTCAAATGTATTTGTACATATTTATAAATATTAACCAATAAAGTTGTTAAAATTAAAAATTAAAAAATTAAAATTAACAAACTTACTATATGATTATCGAAAACATTGAATGTCTTTAGTGGAACATTAAATGTCGGTTTTCTTGGCTTAGTAATGTTTACTGATAGTACATGACATTCCTGTTTCCTCGTCATGGTTGACGTATAGTCCTGCGATACTTTAACTATATAGATGAGTATATAAATGATTATCATTTTCTTCCCCTCCAGACCTGTATATATATATATATATATATATATATATATATATATATATATATATATATATATATATATATATATATATATATATATATATATATATATATATATATATATATATATATATATATATATATATAATAGATTTGAAGATTTGTAATTCAGGCATTTTATTAAATTATAATTTTTACAAAATTATACAGTGTTCTCCGGATTGTAATTATTTGTTTTGAGCTTTCGACTCGGTACTTCGAGCCTTCATCAGAAAGATTGATCATTTGAATTTTCGCGCTGTTGTTGACGTTGTTGAAGTCTGTGGGAACGATTGGATTGGGATTTGACTGGTCTCAAACGAGATGCCTAGGACAAGCAACTACTAAACATGCCCGTGAGTTTAAAGAAGCGTGGCATAGTTTAGACATCTTCAGCCGTATATATGTTAATCATCACGATATGGCATTTATAATTTTTATATATGTTAATCACCGTAGGTAAGTATTTTTTAGTGAACAGGAAAAGCTGAGACTGAGTCGGATTCGAACCGGCGACCTCTGGGTTACAAGCCCATCGCTCTACCATGGGCTTGAATGGCCATGTGGGTGTGCAGGAATGGTTGTGACTGGTTGGGTTCGAATATACCATCGGGCTGATAGCTCAGTTGGTATAGAGCGATGGACTTGTAACCCAGAGGTCGCCGGTTCGAATCCGACTCAGTCTCAGCTTTTCCTGTTCACTAAAATATACTATACCTACGGTGATTAACATATATAAAAATTATAAATGCCATATCGTGATGATTAACATATATACGGCTGAAGAAGACATGTTACTGTCGAAATGGTAAACAAATTCGGCATGGCTTTGGTGAGTGGCCATGTGGGTGTGCAGGAATGGTTGTGACTGGTTGGGTTCGAATATACCATCGGGCTGATAGCTCAGTTGGTAGAGCGATGGGCTTGTAACCCAGAGGTCGCCGGTTCGAATCCGACTTAGTCCCAACTTTTCCTATTCACTAAAAAATACTTTCCTACGGTGATTAACATATATAAAAAATTATAAATGCCATATCGTGATGATTAACATATATACGGCTGAAGAAGACATGTTACTGTCGAAATGGTATCAGCAAATTCGGCATGGCTTTGGTGAGTGGCCATGTGGGTGTTCAGGAATTGTTGTGGCTGGTTGGGTTTGAATGTACCATCGGGCTGATAGCTCAGTTGGTAGAGCGATGGGCTTGTAACCCAGAGGTCGCCGGTTCGAATCCGACTTAGTCCCAACTTTTCCTGTTCACTAAAAAATACTTTCCTACGGTGATTAACATATATAAAAATTATAAATGCCATATCGTGATGATTAATATATATATATATATATATATATATATATATATATATATATATATATATATATATATATATATATATATATATATATATATATATATATATATACGTCGACTATTCATACTTCTCATTATTTTTGCTCTTGCATGTTATCCAGGTTTGCTGATTGAATCGACGAATTTGATAGATTAAATAAGCAAGGTCCAAGGATAACGAGTAAAATTTCAGGATTTTCAAAAAATAGTTTTTAAAAGAAGTTTTAAAAGTTTAAAAAAGTTTTAAAAGTTTAAAAAGTTAGATTTTCAAAAAAGTTAAAAAAGTTAAAACGTTAGGGTTAGGGGTTAGTGGTTAGGGTTAGGGTTGGGGTTAGGGTTAGTGTTAGTGTTAGGTGCCGCGAATTTATTATTATGATAAATTCAAAATGTGCCGCGAATTTATCATAATGATAAATTCGGACGTGTTTAAGAATTTACTCATATAGTAAATTCAAAAGTGGAGCTCATGCTGTTATGTCGCCACTGGACGTCCTTATCAATATACTAGGGTTACAGATAGCTACTCTGCAGGGAAACAAAACCAAGAAATATTTGATAATTATGAACATTAGGGCCATTTATACGGGACAAAATAAGTCGCGACTTACATAAGACGCGACTTAAATAAGCGGAGTTATCGCATAAATGGTTCTCTACGGCTTTGGTCTTATTTATTTGCTATAGCTATAATGTTGTTTTGTTTGTTTTTGTTTTAATATGCAAGGCTAATAATTTTACGTTGTTTCAAGTTTCTGGCATGTGTAGTTAGACTTTTTGTCCAAAATTTCTTATTTAAGACGCGACTTAGATAAGAACAGTTAAAAGACCTGTTCTTATGTAAGACGCGTCTTATCCAAGACGCGTCTTACATAAGAATTTTGTACCTTTTATACGACAAACTCACGTCTTATTTAAGTCGCGTCTTATGTAAGTCGCGTCTTATTTTGTTCCGTATAAATGGCCCTAATGACTACTTTGACTGGATTCCAATTCCTGTTTTTCTATAATATTTGTAAATATTAATTTTTAAATCTTCCATTTTCTGTTTTTCCTAAATCATGCAGTTAGATTTTATCACATAGCTAAAACATGCTGTATACTTCGTTATGGTGGCAGCAGATATCTAACCCAAATATCAATATGAAATTACTTGAAAGGTTTACCTGTGTATTCTCTCGTTTCTGAAGCAGGATTCCAGTCTGTGGAGTGAGTAATAATCACCCTATAGTAGAAAAAGTGATACAAGTTTTCGGAAAGTATGTCACCTTGGCTATAGACCCTCGTTCTCGTGATTCATATATTACAGTATATATTTTATAATATAAGTCGTTAAAATGAGGAAGACAAGACAAAAATACTTTGAAATAATTTAATTATATTGTTTCTAAATAACTTCTGCACGTTCATTACGGAAATATATTTGCATCATAAACGTGTGCTCATTCAAAGCTTTGTCATGCGTATGCGCACATAGAGATTATAAATAACAGTTATAACACAAAAAAGGAGGCATCGAGGTTAAAATTTGGGAACGCGGCTAATGGGGGGCAAATTTAGGTCCCGGATATAAAATCATGCTCTCATTGGCTAAATTGAAACGCCTCACCAATGGGAACAAGGGTACACATCCGGGACTTGAATTTGCCCCCAATAGCCGCATTCCTTTTTTTCTCCTGATGTCAAGATTGCGATGCCTCCTCTAGTGTATATTTATAATCTCTATGTATGCGCATGCATGAACAAGACACAGCATTAACGAGGAGTCTAGCTTTGATCAAAATGCTTTTCCATTTTCAGCCGACTGATGATTATGCTCTTGAAACATTTACTCTGGTTTGAAGATGGCTAATGAACTGTACAAACGGATCTTATTATATAATCGCGTTGACTTGCTTTGCCTGCACACTTCACTTGAGGGCCATTCACAAAGGATGTCCGGCCAAATTATGACCCCCCCCCCCCCCCCCCCCCCCTTGTCCGGCATTGTCCAAATTAGTGACCCCGGACATCCGCCATGCCTCGCAAAAACTCACGCAACCTTGTATATGTCAAAAGTAAAAACGTGTTTTACTTTTAGAACTTTTATAACCATAAATGTGAATACAAAAACATATAAATTATTAATTAAAACAAACAACTGTGTTACTGTAACAACAGGATGAACTTTTCGTATAGAAAAGGAGAGTTATACATGCAGAAAGCTTTTATTTGACGCCACTGTTGAATTCATCATTGAAGGAAAGAATTAGATAATATTATGAAGTGTTCAAAATGCCAATTTCACAATGGGGAGGAGAGTTCAAAATAGAGGAAAAAGAAATTTGTTTTTGAATTTTTCTAAATTTCGGACATCCGGATTGCTAAAAACCCCCCTCCCCCCTATGTTCGAGTTTATCCTGATTTTCCAAACCCCCCTCCCCCCCTCGGCTCGGACATCCTTTGTCTGAAAAATTAATTTCAGAAATATATTTTTGACTTTTGGTTAACCAATTATTTTCTTTGTCTTTATTGAGTCTGCTGGCCTTCTGGAGAACATTGCTGTTGTTGCAATTAGGCCTATCATACACAACAGAATTATGCCAGATTTTTCATCAAATTGGTTCGTCCTTATAGTTTGACTGTACCGGATGCAATTTTTTGCGTCACAGCGATTCCACTGTTCTATAGGCTCAGGAACATTCTATATCTCCTTTGGTGTGATCGCTAAGTATAATACTAATGCCAGTGCTGGAAATTTACTTATATTGACGCTCAACAGATTTCTATCCGCATGTATAGCTCGTTAAGATATCCTGCCTTGATGACTTGCAGTAGGGCAAAGTGTTTGGTCATATTTCCTTGTGCTTTCCTCCAACAGCTGTTGTCGCAATTTCTTATCTAGCCGGAATCCAGGATATTACCTATTTTCATTCATAGGCTATACAACACTGAACATACTAACCATTACGTAGAGTTAGCGCAGAGTGCAGTACTGACTCCCAGAAATAAACTACTTATAGTCTTAGAAAAGAATTCCGCTTGTTGTTTCATCTACTTATTGTAGTACTGAGATTCTTTATAGAGCTTGTATGCCATCAATGTAGTGTTGCATCTTCATCCCACTCCATCCTCTTGTCAGACGCGTTCATTTAATTTCGAAAATAATTTGGTGTTCTTTTGCTATGATATTTAATGCCGCCGTGGATCCTCTCATATAAGCTTACTCCACCAACCATCCGATATTTAAACGATATTTCAACAATGCACAAAACCGGATTTTTCCACAACACACCGTAGCCGTAGGCCAATGAACATGCTCACACGCAGTGCTATACAGTAGATCGCAGTCATTTGTCTGAAATTTCACCGCAACTCGGTTCCTGACGATGGAACATATCTTGAACTGCATGGCCCAATAAGATGAAAGTTGCTTAAAGTGCCTATGACACGAAATTTCACCCCAAACGTTTATGTTTGTATTGTAAAGATCACTTAAAATGACTTAATAACTTCTTTTATATAATTTTGCAGTGGCGGAATTTCACTTTTTCCGGTGGGGAGGGGGGGGGGGCAAAGCCTCCTAAATTTCCGACAAAACTTTCAAATTTCCGACAACCCCCCCCCCATTTGCCTGGTCAAAATTTCCGAAAATTCGTCAATTTTCCGTGAAGGTGGAAATAGTATCTTGGGGGGGGGGGGGGCGCGCCCGCCCCACCAAGATTTCCGCCACTGTACTTTTGGTAACTTGCTCCTTTCTCAAGATATTCAACTTTGTTTCATATGCAAATATCACCGGTGTGACATCACATCGCATAATGTGTTTTCAGAAAAGTATAGTTTTCTTGACGAATACGTATCTAAAAAACTTAAAAAATTGCCCTTGTATATGCAATCATTTCATAACTGGTAATTCATCTTCTGCATTTGTTTGTACAAAAATTTTATCAATGTGAAATATTGCGTTTTCAAAATGTCATTATGCGATGTGATGTCACACCGGTGATATTTGCATATGAAACAGAGTTGAATATCTTGCGAACGAAGCAATTTACAAAAATTCTATAAACGAACTTATTAAGTCATTTTAAGTGATCTTAACAATACAATCATAAATATTTGGGGTGAAATTTCGTGTCATAGGCACTTTAAAGAAAAGACTTTGTATTGTTGTGAATTTATTTCATATTACTGTGCGTGGGAAAGGTGTTGCACCCCTGTGGCAATCTCTCCATTGGACTTGTTCCTGTTCCTAGCGCGCACTCTCCACCATGCTGGACCGAGACAAAAGCAACAAATTTAAAAATGGCCAGGACCGTCGCGAGAAGGCTAAAGCAGGGGGGAATAGTATCGGATTTGCC